CCAGGCTCAGCTCCCCACCAGCCTGTCCCCATGCCGAGAGGGGTGCCGGCCACCTCCCGGGGTGCAGGGATGTGGCACCCTACTCCCTCCGCCTCTTGGGCTGGGGACATCACCCTGATGGCACGACTGACCTTGGCCAGGCGCACCACGGTGGTAGCCAGTCCCGGGGGGAGTGTGGGGGTGTCCTCAGCCCCTCCTGAGCCGCTGGGTCCCATTGAACCAGGCGCGGGAGGGTTTAGGGCCAGCGTCCCCAGGGATTTATCGTGTTAGAGGACCATATGTACGTGGTCGTTGATCTGTCCCCATCCCCACTCCCTTGGGACCGAAGGTGGCTGGGGACCTCCATGTCCCCAGACCTGCAGGACGATGCGGGCAGCCCCAGATGTGAGGTTGACCCTTCCCCAGCGTCCAAGCTCAAGCATCCTACAAGTGATGCCTGATGGGGAGAGATGGGCACAGGGCGGATGGAGATCTGGGGATGGGGGTGACCTGTGGACCCCTTAAGGTCCGCAGAGTCCCTGGTGCTCCCTGTGCCCATGCAAATCTCCAGGTGAGTGCCTGGAGGTGGATGTTGAACCTACCAGGTGGAGACCCAGGGGAATAAACCGACCCCGAACTTACGGTGGGATTTACCTCTCCCAGGCACGATGGTGGGTTTGGGTCCTCAGGGTCTGGGCTGGCAGCCCAGGATTGCGTGGAGGTTCCCAGTAAGGGGTGAGGTGCAGGGACAGGCAGAGGAGGTGAGGCTGCCCCACAGAGAGAGCCCTTCCCTGCTCCGACAGGACAGTTTGGACCATGAGAAGGTGGTGGGCTGAGCTGGGGAGCCCCTGCCTGGGGAGGGGGAGGATGAGGGGAGCAGGGAGGGAACAAGGCAGTTCGGCCCTCCCCAAACTGTGACTCAGAGCAGCCAATGCTTGTACACCCCCTCCCTGCTTCCTTCCACCCATCCATCCTTCCTTCCTTCCTTCTGTCCATCCATCCATCCATCCATCCATCCATCCATCCATCCATCCTTCTATCCATCCTTCCTTCCTTCCATCCATCCTTCCTTCCATCCATCCACCCATCCATCCTTCCTTCCACCCATCCATCCTTCCTTCCTTCCTTCCATCCATCCATCCTTCCTTCCGTCCATCCATCCTTACTTCCTTCCATCCATCCATCCATCCATCCATCCATCAATCCTTCTATCCATCCATCCTTCCTTCCTTCCACCCATCCACCCATCCTCCCTTCCATCCACCCATCTTTGCTTCCTTCTATCCATCTGTCCGTCCACCCATCCATCCATCCATCCGTCTGTGCATTTATCCATCTGTCCGTCTGCCATTCCACCCATCCACCCCTTTGTCCATCTCTCTGTCCACCTCCCCCCCCCATCCATCCATCCATCCATCTGTCCATCCATCCATCCCTCTGTGGGATGCAGGACATGGCGCCGTCTCTGCTCCCATGGTCACCCTGAACCCTCTGTGCTTCCTCAAACTCCCCGTCACTCCATGACATGACCTGGGGGGAGGGATTCTCCGGTGTCTTGTAGGCTCAGTAACACCCCCGCCATGGCCCTGCCTGGGGGGCC